GTGGAGATGTTCAGCTGTGGACTACTGGTGAGATTCTCTCGTCTGCATTGTTTGGTCTCGTCTTGTCCTTGTGAACACGAATGTATAATTTGTAGCATACTAAGCGCCCCAAACTCACCCGAAAAAAGCGAGTCTGCCCACGGTGCATTGTCTGTTCTCTATGACATGTGACAGTGTTGAAACTGTGACAGGATAATATTTTATTCATGTCCTGAAAATTACGTGTGTACCTAGTATGTAAATTGTTGACATTATATGTAAACCTCCGCCCTCAACCCTTGCTTTGCCTATGTGCAGATCCATGTAAGAGTGGCAGTGCCACCATGGTGTACAGGCCTATGGAAGGTGAAATAATCCATGGAATTTGCGAACTGTTGACAATGAGACAGGCGAGTGTTACTGAGGCGATGGAGTCATTCCTGCATGTTATCAGGACACAGTTACACAAGGCATCAGGATTTGGAAATCTGTTACGTCAGAAAATGTGCCAGCTGAAGGCATGCAATGGTGCTGGCATTTCGCAAGCATGGCAACAAGTGCTCTCCAGCATCTCAACAGATTTTCCCAAAGTGAAGCTCTGTATAAGACACAATATGACACAGCTAAAAACAACTGAAGCAGTGAAATGTGAATGTTGCACGAGCATGCGTGTGTGTGTGTATGTGTGTGTGTGTGTGTGTGTGTGTGTGTATGTGTGCGGCTGTGCCAAAGCCTAGAGTGTTCATTTGCGGCTGTGGCAGAGACTTCCGTCGGCCCAATGATCTAACCCGCCACAGGAAATACTGCAACTCCTGATGCTATCATTGCACGGAGCAATGGGCATCCAAAGGTCCAAAGGTGTATGTGTGTTGTGCATTGGTGGTCGATTCACATGGCTTTGCCAGTTGTGTGGATTATACAGTTATCTGGTGCAAGTCTTGATCTGTCTCATTCAGATCTTGTTCGCTATCTTTGCTATAAGAGAAAATCTGTGGCTGGACATCCAGTGCATTTGCAGACTTGCGTTCTTCTCTTGCGACGGGCGTATGCATGGTATGTGAGTGTGTGCGTGTGTGTGTATGCTTCTGTGATAAGTGGATCAAGCAGTATACAGGGTATTCACGGGTAATCGCCTTGAGTGCATTTGCCGATAGTGTGACTTTCGTCCCAGAGAACTTTACTCAGTCGGTCAGGCGACTCGGCCTTACGTTTCCTGAAGGCAATGTGTTCAGAACACAGTTACTTCAAGTATGAACAGCTATGAACAGTTAGGAAATGACAAATATTGTGTGTTGTTCATGGACCATAATGTGAAACACTTTGAATCCAGAAGAATGAGGGTAGTGGCATCAAATGCTGCATAGATTCTGTTTGATATGCTACTTTTTTTCCCTTCCATGGAAAGGTGAGTGCATCATCGATCTTCATCTCGAAACTTCACACAAACCGAGAATGGAACTTGGACAACATGAAGGGGCCATGGGCATGGTGTGTTTAGTGAAGAACTATTCCGAAAACAGGGTGTCATTCACACTTACTCAATTCAAATTTGAATATATTTCGTGAATAACTTACCTTGACATTCCGTCGTCTCCAAAGCAGTGAACTTCCCAATAAAATTAAAAGCCACGGCTCAACCTAAGGTAATGCGTTGTACGTATCAGAAACAACCAGCTTTCGCTCTGGAGATCCAGAATAGGCCTCGAAGCATAGCAAAAACAATTGAGAAAAAGAAGATGACGACGGCGTTTCAATCACGCATCAAATTTTGCGGGTCGAGTGCAGCAATCCTCGGATCGTGAAATGTGCGGCGTGTCGCGTCCCGGTATTTTACGACTCCCTGGCACGAATGGTCATTTGTCGCTCGCACCATCCCGGCGACAGGTCCGCTGTTCGAGCCCATTGAGGACGCCGTACGTCTTCAGCTCATCCCCGCGCGTACCGGCCGGTGTCCGCCTGGTGACCAAACCAGGGCCGTACTGTCATTGCCCTTCAGAGTTGGTGGATTGGGTCTCATCAACCCCACTCATCTTGAGGACCAATTCCGTCAGTCCAGCATCATCACCCAACCTCTTGTCGACAAGATCCTCAGACAGGAGTCCAACAACGGCGGAGTTCGAGTGGCTATGCAGCTCTTGAAGTCAGAAGTCCGAAAGGAGTCAACACAACTGGCCAATGAGCAGATGGCTGCACTGCTTCAGCAACTGGACCCAGACATCCAGTATGCCGTGAACCTCGCGTCAGAGAAGGGTGCCTCAAGCTGGCTAACATCCAAGCCACTTGCAGTTTTCGGCTTCAAGTTGCACAAGGATAAAATCCCAGCAGAGCTCCTGAAATATGGATCCGAGGTGCTAGCGCCGGTCATAGCAAATTTCGTCAACGCTGCGCTCTCGCAGGGTGCCAATTTATCGACAGCTATTGGACCAGGAATACTCATACCTCTCGCTAAGCCTAACAAGCCCAAGGGTCGTGTAACCAGTCTGCGGCCCATCACTTTATTAAACTCTATCCGCAAAGTGATATCGATCATTGTGCTTCGGCGCATCACGGAATTCGGGGCACTCTCTCGTCATCTTGGTACTACACAGTCCGGCTTCCGCCCGGGCCGTAGTACAGCGGACGTGGTATGGACCCAGCGGTGGATCGCTGCAAGAGCCATTCGTTACCGACAGCAATTTCACATTCTAGGCCTGGACATGTCCAAGGCCTTCGATACGATTAACCGCCTGAAGCTGCTGGAGGTGATGTCTGCAATCACCGATCCAGATTGCACATGTCTCATCCACCACCTACTCCACAACACAACTATCACTGTTAAGGTTGCAAGTGCCACAGCTGAACCATTTGAGAGCACTATTGGAACACCACAAGGCGACAGTCTCAGCCCAGTTCTCTTCATCTGCTATCTGGAGGCTGCACTACAGGAATGCAGAACTCGTCTCGCGCCCCGCCCTGCTGGCGACGCAAGTCTACCACCAGAGACGGGTTATGCAGATGACATCTCCTATTATTCAACCTGCAGGCTGTGGCTTGAGAATGCTCTGCCTGTAATAGCAGACACACTGCACGATTGGTCATTAAAAGTAAATCCAGATAAAACAGAGTGGATCCGTGTGTCACCTGAATCCGAGAGCTGGCGGACATCTAGGCAGCTTGGCTCCTTGATGGGGGAGGAAGAGGATGTTCGGCGCAGGATGGAACTTGCCTCTCGCGTGGTTGGCCAGCTGTACGCCCTATGGCTGCGTAGAGATAAAGTAGCGGAGAAGACACGCTTACGCCTGTACAACGCTATCGTACTGCCGATATTCCTGTACAATTGCGAGACCTGGGGATTATCGTCAACAGCAATGGCCAAGGCAGACGCTTTCCACCGGCGTCAAATGCGATCACTCCTTGGAATACGATACCCAGACACAATTTCAAACGACGACCTATACCGCAGAACCAAGAGCAACCCTATATCAGACACAGTTGCATGTAGGCGACTACGAATGACCGGTCATGTGCTACGGATGGACACGGACACGCCACCGCAAGTAGCCATGAGCAGCTATTTTGACAAGGGCAACAAAGCACCTCGTGGACGGCCAAGGTTGACACTGGCCACAAGTCTGGTTGCTCAGCTGAATAAGCTGGGTGTGCCAATGAAGACCATGGAAGACCTTTCCAGGTGCCGACAACAAGCAGCAGACAAGACAGACTGGAGGAAACTGTGCAGCTCGACACCCGGCGAGAAATCGGTATCAGCAGCTACTACACCTAGCTGATGATGCTCACAAGACAGAAGCGGAAAAAACACTGAATTTCTTTATTTAGTGCTCTACTACGCGAAATGTGCTATTATTATTATTATTATCAGTTGCACAAGGGGGCGTTTCGAGACTCCTTATGCCTCCGATATGGATGGACGCCGGATCATCTCCCGACAACGTGTGCATGTGGAAAGTCGTTCACGACCACCCATGCCCTGTCCTGCTCGCTGGGCGGCTACCCCTCTCTCCGCCACAACGAGATTCGGGACATAACGGCCCACCTTCTCCGGGAAGTTGCCAATGATGTAGCCGTCGAACCCCATCTCCAGCCTCTCTCGGGGGAACACTTCCCCTTGAGATCTACCATCACCGACGACAACGCGCGCCTTGATATCGCAGTCAGTGGATTGTATGGTGGACGGGTTTGACAGGACATTCCTTGATGTCCGGGTTCTCAACCCACTTGCCCCCTCAAACCAGAAGTCATCAATCCCGGCAGTGTACCGCAAGCACGAAAAGGAAAAGAGACGAAGTTATGAGAGAAGAGTCGTTGAGGTAGAGCATGGATCATTCATCCCGGTCGTGCTCAGCACTACAGGTGGTCATGGCAAGGCAGCTGGAAATCTCTACGCTCGGATTGCATCCATGTTGGCCGATAAGAGGTCCGAGCCTTTCTCTATCGTCATGGCATACATCCGCACTCAACTGTCTTTTGCACTGGTCAATGCCGCAGTCACAGCCCTGAGAGGTCATCTGCACAAAGCGTCAAGAATCAACGGCTGCCCTTCGATCATGTTAGCAGTGGCAGAACGCAGCATGTAATGGTCAATCCTTGACTTAGTTTGGTAATCGTTTTAGTACCTCGAACCCCGTGCTGAGTTTGACACGATTTCTGGTATCTTGGCCGTAGACTACTACGCATACTGCTTCTAGCGGTTTCTTTGCATTTTACTGATTGATTACTAGTATACTGTATTTTTCAAGTAAGTTGTACCCTGAAAAAAAATTAGCACTGGAGATGGCAATTAATACCCGGGACATCAAGCGCCCACGTCGCCGACCCCATCTCAGATGGATTGACAATAATATTAAGAAATGATCTAAAGCACGCCAATATTGATATTTCTGACTGTTTTGAACTGGCTCTACACAAGAAAAAATGGCTGATGCTTTTTTTTTTTTTTTTTTTTTTTTTTTTTACTACGTTCACATAACCAGCTCGAAAAGAATAAGGAAAGACAGATAGGACAAACGTGACAACTAATGAGCAGGCGCTGCACCGAGACGCAGCAGTGATGGTGGGGCATTGATGACTCTGCCGACCTGAGGTCTCGGCGTCACGGCCAAAAACACGCCCCAAAAACAATGAAAAAAGAAGAAGATAGAGCTGTACAGGTGAGAAAGATGCAAAAACCCAAGGCTTAACACGAGCGATTGTGGGGGAGAAACTGTCTTAGCGTCATACTATTCATAGGGAATCGACTGCCCAGAGCCAGTTTGTGCTGCGAAGATGGCGGTAAACATTCGTTTTGCATGATTGCATTCTCTTGCTGTGAGGAGGCTGGGCTAGGAGAGCGGCAGGGAGGGAGTTCCAATCGCTTCAGTGCCAGCGGGGCAGATGCAGGCAGCTGGTGTTGGAGCTGGTGGTCATGGCCACTGACAGCACCGTGCTCGCTGCGAGTTCTGGGGTTGGTAGAGATGATGTGGCGCGGTGGCAACACAGAGAGCAGCTGCGGAGGACCAGGCAAGTAGTGCAGCTTGTACAGGCAGGCAAGCGAGGCAACAATGCGGCGGATGGCCAGGCTGGGTAGGTGTGCCCGAGGGCCGATAGCATGAAGCGCGCGGCGCTGAACATTGTTCAGACGCTGGAGGTGACTCTGCGCAGCTCCCATCCATACAAGAGGCGCATACTCCATGACTGGTCGTACGAACGCCTTGTATACGGTCGTCCGGCCGGCGGGGGTGAGTATGTGGGCGGCTCTGTTTAGGACCCCAAGCCGTTGGCGTGCACGGGTGGCTACGGAAAAATGTGCTGCGCTTGCGTAGTTGTTCTTACTGCGATACGTTCTAACAATAATGAGATGCTTTTTGTTGGCTCTTCTGCCTGCATTTCGTTGACAGATGCGTTAAGCCCATGGATCCTTCCAAGAGTGACATGCGAACTGTAACTATTATTATTGTTATTATTATTATGTACATGTACATGTACATGTGTGCTGCAAGAGTTGTCCCCTGCGCGACAGCGGCGGTACATGTAGGATAAGCAACTGGAGTGCAGTCGTACTACATGAACAAAGTGCTTAGCGCCAGGACTGCTAACATGCTGAGGCTTGGCAGGATGGCGTTTCCAGAATTGCAATTGAAGTACTGACCTGCACCGCAAAGACGACCAGGAAACAACAACATTTTAACAATGAACCTTTGAAATTAAAGAAAACTCGCACAACATCAGAACGTAGACATGATAAGCGGAAATAGCCGGTAGATCCCTCCTCCCCCTCCTCTAAGATTGGACGCAGGATTCCTAGGTGCTCATTCTTGGAAAAAGGGCAAAATGAATTATGGGAGAAGGTGAATAAAAAGACAGACAGACACGCCACCAGACGGACACGTAGAAAGACAGACAGACAGACAGACCTACAGACAGACCGACAGACAGACAGACCGACAGACAGACAGATATGCAGACAGACAAACAGACGTACATGACATGTTCATGTACATCAACTTGCCGAAAAAGAGCATATGCAATCATATTCACAGTCTCTAGCAAACACACAAACAGGCACGCGCACGCACACAAACACATACGCACGCACACAGCGGAAATAATAGAGAAAATGTCTGTGTTCAAGAAAGCATGCAGCTCCTCTTTCTATTCACAACTCACTTGCGCTATTGCCTCCGTTATTCAGTGTGCAGCCGATCCCACGGGCACAGTCAAAAAACGTAGCTGAAGTGGACACATTCGAACAGTTCTCCAGCCCTCTGCAGTCCTGACCGGCAGCGCCAGCCACGCAATCGCAGTGAGGAGCAGTGAAGGGTGAGGACACACACTCGGCACTACCGGGGGGATACAGAGTTGACTGCAGGCACGCGTCTGGCTGTGTGCAGAAGTCACCTGAAAGGACAGCAAACAAACAACGCACTTGCCGTTACCATGGTACAGCAATGACGTGTGACGTCACAGCTGTGATTTCTAGGTGCACCAGTACATGTATGACAGCGGGCATTGGGTTACAAAAATAATTAATGCTTTATCACTTCTGAGTGAATTGTTATCGGGATGACAGCAGAAAGACCGCGGACGAACAGAATACCAGTATTAACTTTTAAAAGCAGTTAGTTGATTCCGGGAACTGTATGCCTGGTTGATATCTGCTTGTCTGAATCACTCAAAGTACGTCGGGTCTGACTTACATGTTCATCCGATCCAAATATTCTCCCCTACACTAGTCTATTGCATCTCCACTGTACTTTATTCGTTGTCTGTGTTTTTTTTTTGCCCTGGCTTGTATTTCGCGTGATAAGAAGGCTTGAAAGCAAACTCGTGCAACATCTGTAACGCATCAATTATGTTGAATCACCCGAAGTGTGCTGCACATTGCACGTCTAAATGTTACTGTCTTATCGTTTGCAGGGTACTATCACATATACAGTAAAACCTGTCAAGGCGACCACTCGGATAAGGCGACCACCTGTCCAAGAAGACCGCTGAAAACAGGATCAAGAGATGCTATTTCCTGTCAAATGACCCTGGATAAGAAGACCACCTGATAACAGAGACCACATTTTGAAAGTCCCTTGAGCGGTCGTCTTAGACAGGTTTCACTGTATTATAGATTGGCGGGCCAAAACAGTTGAACTACTTCTCCTACACATATTGTAATGGAAACTGTTACTTACGAACATCGAGTACGGCGTTGGCCCGTTGTATGCCACCAAGGACGGTCGCAGAGCACGTTACAGTAAAGGTAGTTGAAACGAACGTATCAGGACTGACATTCGCGGTGATAGGGTCGATGGTGAGCGTGTTGCCTCCTTGTGCTGAGAAGCGCAAGCTGTCCATGGGCAATTGTGGCGGGACAGTCCAATTCACCCCTGCTGATGTGATGGGCAATACGCTGGTACAGTTGAAGGTGACGCTGGAGCCAGTGAAGACATCCACCCTGGAAGGCGTCACAGTGAGTCCTTAGATGGGAAAAAAGAAGAAGTGAAGAAAAACAAACCGCGGGAAGACAAAAATCTTAGAATCTTACTAAAGAGAAGCTTATTGGAATAACATATGAATACTTTGGTAAACGGTATCAATCGATTGATTAAAATGTGCAGTAACAAAAATGGATGGAGATGCAATAGTGAAGATAACATCGTATATTGTTGCATTGCGCATTAGTTCAATGATGATTCCTGACAAGTGCTGAACGAAACGTGTTCGAATCTTCATGCATTGTTCTCTTCACTATTGCATCTCCTTTCCTTTTTGTTACTCTTCTTGGCAACTTGGGATCAATTCCGCGTGTACTCAGCGTGCTATGCAATTCTTTAACTTCTTCGACACACCGTTGAAGTAGATAGAGAGCTATCTTTCTGGGAGAAGCCAGTTTGTGTCCGTGTCGGAAGCAGACTCTCCAAAGCTACCCGTGCTGTCGGGGGTGCCTCAGGGCTCAATTCTTGGACCATTGCTTTTTGTTTTGTATGTTAATGATCTACCAAGTCATGTTTCTGGAATGTCATTGTTTGCTGACGATACAGCTGCTTTGCGCCACTGTAAAACTGTCAAACAGCTTGAGTCAGAGTTGCAAGACGCGATAAATATGATTGTCACCTGGATGTCCAGTTGGAGGCTTCAGGCAAACGTTTCTAAAACCAGTTGACTGTCTCTAACAGATTCTGCCTCAATGTTTAAGTTCACCTTTCCGAATTCACCCACAGAAATTCAGACGGTAAAGGAGCACAAACACCTTGGGGTAATGTTCGATTCATCCATGTCCTGGTCGGCTCATGTAGATTACATTTGTAATAAAGTCAGCCGTGCTCTTGGCTATATTAAAAGTCATTGTAAACATCTCTCTATTCCTTGCCGTTCAGCTATATAAAAAAATTATCTCATTCCATTGTTTGAATATGCTGCCACAGCCTGGCATGGCCTAGCTAAGGTCTTATCAGATTCCATTGAAGTTCATCATAAGAAAGTTCTAAAAAAATTGTTCTCGAAGAAACCTTCCTTTCCCTCCAATGAGTTGTACTTATTAGCTCAGACTACTCCGTTAGAGCAACGCCGACTAACTTGCCTCTGTATATTGGTTCATCGAATGCTCTTGGGTTGTGTTCCTGAACATATAACCCTTATAACGGGTTTGTTTCGGGCCGCTCAACCACAAACAAAGTGTCTCTTCCCAATGCCAAGTTAACGCAATTCACAAGATCGCCATTCTTCCAGGGCTACTGTACGTGGCTACAACTTCCCAACTCAGTGAAGACTTCTGCATCATTGAAAGAATTTGAAGTGAATCTGAGGGCCTGCTGATGACTGAGTGCACCATAGTAAAAATAAAACTAACCAATATAGCTTTTCGGTTGTTTCCTTTTCATGTATATAATATTCAAATAATCGACGTGGAGACAACAATTTTATAATAGCAATAAAGAGAACAAATTCTGCAGTCATCGCCACACTACAACGAGGTCATGAAAGTTTACCAGAATTAATTTTCTTGTCACATTCATCAGTGGAAAGTCGTGACTGAAGAGTAACCATGCTGAACAATGATTAAATATACATTCAATATTGTGTTACGAGAACAAAATACAGTGCCAAAATAGAATGAGGGAAGGTGAGACAACCGAAGTGTCTCACTACACAGTTTTAGCGTTAAAATTAGTTTCTCACCCGCCGTTGCACTTAGCTCTCACTTCACTTCTAGCACTTCGTGAATGTGACAAGAAAATTAATTCTGGTAAACTTTAATGACTTCGTTGTAGTGTGGCGATGACTGCAGAATTTGCTCTGAATATAATATTCTCCTTCTTTAACCATGGTTGGCTATCACCCACATCTTCCCGTTTTGGCTGTCCTCGGAAGCCATAAGATGTTGAATAAATGGGCCGCGATCAGCTAACACATGTCTTTGGGGTTTCGTAAAAATGTTGAGAAATGACGAAATGAAAAGAAATGTCTTTTTCGAGCGCATTCACTCTGCGCTTCATTCATGATGTGGTTTAGGGTTTTACGTCGGGCCCTAGACGACGGCTACTTTGGCCAACCGGACAACAAAGAAGTTGAGACCAAAGAGAATGATTTTATTTCTTGCCCATGCGTTTGTAGAATGACGTAATACTCAGTGAGTCAGGTCGCTACAGTTAGCAAATTTAGGTCTGAGCCTGCTAAGGGGGCGCGCGAATCAGGCCACTTCCTGGTCACAACGGACACTTCGACAGTTAGCGGCAATGATTACTTTACACGGTCTCCCAAGGAGTGTAAGGGAGATCAAGGCTGCCAAGGAATTTAAGCTTGCCTCCATCCCCTACACCTTGCAATGAATGCTCTGTCTGACTTTTCCCGTCCACACACCACGTCATTTACTCTTCTCTGCGTGCTTGTGCGCTTATGAACTCTTTGTGTTCCTTCTGTTGACGCTTCAAAATCGCTCTATTGACACTGCAAAATCGCTCTGTTGACGCTGCAAAATTGCTTATCATCTCCCTCCCTCCCTCCCCCCTCCTCTCTCTCTCTCTCTCTCTCTCTCTCTCTCTTTCTCGCTCTCCCCGTAGCTCTCTCCCTTTTGAAATTCGCTTCCATAGAATTGGGCACCATTGCCCGTTTGGCCTTGCGAAGCAAAATAAAAATCAACAACAACAACAACACACGTTACAGTTAGAAAGGAGCCATAAAAAGGTGCTTCGGCAACGGCCAAGCAAGCAGAGAGAGATTGTCAGGAAGAGAAAGGCAAGCTGGCTGGCGGCAACCGTATGCAAAAGTGAGGTTCGTGGCATACGGTACGCCAATATGCTAACGTACGCCATAAAAAGGTGCGGGGCAGGTTCTGGGCCACTTTTTGACCTTTGACCTTTGGGCCGAATAAGGCACACTGTGTCGGTCGTGCTTGGTCTGGCCCCGGGACTTCCCCCAGGGTTTGACCTTTGACCTTTGGGTTAAATAAGGCACACTGTGTCGGGCGCGCTTGGTCTGGCCCCGGGACTCCCCCAGGGTTCGACCTTTGGCCCTGCCATGCCATAAATGTTGTCATGTTCTTTTCCGTGGCGACCGTGCACTTGTGCACGTTCGGTGCATTCGCACCAGGGAGTAGTAAAATACGTACTACTCCCTGATTTGCACATCGTAGATGTGCAGTGACATATTGCGCATGCGCGCATAAGCACGCGGAGCGTGCGACCTTCAGTGGCCCTGCGGAAAAGACGCAGTGCAACAGAAGGTGGCCTAGTACACGTGTCATTATACTACTCCCTGATTCGCACTTCGTAGATGTGCAGCAACAAGTTCACGTTCCTTGCATTCGTTTTATACGCACATCGTAGATGTGCACTGACAAGTTGCCCATACATAGGGTGCGACTTTCAGTCCCTGACCCTGCATGCACTATCCATGCATTATATGCAATACGATGCTGAATTGATACTGACCCAGGTGGGGTGGTCGCTGGCAGGATGGCCGAGACAGGTGGCGCACTCGCGGCAGTGTCGGGGAGATACGCAGGCTTGAGCCGGTCAACGGAGACACTATCCTCCTTGCCATTGATCAGTATGGTGGAGTACTTGTTGTGTCGAGAGATAACCTTGAACGGGCCTTGATAGGGCGGTTGGAGGGGTTTACGCACAGCATCCGTGCGGACATACACATGCGTCGCTGTAGCTAGGTCGCCGGACACCCACACGGAACGGTTGCTGGATCTGGGAGTGGTGGGTCGTAATGCCTGCAGAGATGTGCGGAGGGCTTGGACATAGTGAGACGGGCTGGGTGAGGTTGAAAAGCTGGGCTCGTAGAATTCACCAGGAAGACGCAGTGTTTTGCCTTAGGTGAGCTCGGCTACACTACAGTCTAAATCGGCTCTGTACGCCGCACGGATGCCGAGCATGACCAGGGGCAAATTGTGTGACCAGCTGCCGGATGCCTGTGCCATTAGAGAGGACATCATGTGGCGGTGGAATCGCTCGACCAAGCCGTTACTCTGGGGGTGATACGCAGTGGTGCGTAGGCGGGAGGATCCGAGTAGCTTCAACAATGCAGCGAATAAGCTTGACTCGAATTGTCTGCCACGGTCGGTGGTGATCACTGATGGAGTGCCAAAGCGGGACACCCATTGTAGCAGGCCGTGTGCGGTTGGCTCGGCTGTCCAGTCGCGTAGTGGTATTGCTTCGGGCCAACGGGTCAAACGATCCACACACGTTAGCAGATACGTGAAACCTTGGGATGGCTGCAGAGGTCCGACGAGGTTGATATGGATGTGATCGAACCGGGCGTCAGGCGGCACGAATTTCGACAGTGGTGCCGAGGTATGCCTGTGTACTTTGGACCGCTGACATTCATGGCAACAGCGAGTCCAAGCGCGCACATTCTTAGAAATGGCAGGCCAAACAAAGTGGTTAACTCGGCTGTCCAGTCGCGTAGTGGCATTGCTTCGGGCCAACGGGTGAAACGATCCACACACGTTAGTAGATACGTGAAACCTTGGGATGGCTGCAGAGGTCCGACGAGGTTGATATGGATGTGATCGAACCGGGCGTCAGGCGGCACGAATTTCGACAGTGGTGCCGAGGTATGCCGGTGTACTTTGGACCGCTGACATTCATGGCAACAGCGAGTCCAAGCGCGCACATTCTTAGAAATGGCAGGCCAAACATATCGAGCTGTGATCAGACGCTGAGTTGCTTTGATGCCAGGGTGGCTGATGCTGTTGAGCGAATCGAAAACAGGTCTACGGAATGCTTCTGGGACATACGGCCGTGGTGTACCGGTGGATACATCGCACAAGAGCGGGACAGGAGAGAACGGCAACGAGATAGACTTGAAATCGAGACTGGTGTCTGGACGAGTACGGAGTGCCTCGAACTCTGGGCAGTTGGTCTGGGCAGCCGCAAACTTGGTGAAATCAATGGGTTGCTGGATGGCATTGACAGACGGTCGGGAGAGTGCATCCGCAACAACATTTTCCACGCCCTGGATGTGCTGTAGGTCGGTGGTGAACTCTGCCACATATGCAAGTTGACGCTGCTCACGTGGGGACAGGCGGTCGGACGCTGTGCGGAGAGCAAATGTCAGGGGCTTGTGCTCCGTATACACTGTAAACTGTCGACCCTCGAGATAGTGACGGAAATGGCGGATGGACAGGTAGATTGCCAGGAGTTCTCGGCTGAATGTGCTGTAGCGTGTTTCGGCCGGCTGTAACTGCTTCGAGAAGAATGCAATGGGCTGCCAAGTCGAGTCGACCAGTTGGTTCAGGGCAGCACCAACAGCGAAATCGGACGCATCAACCATGAGGGCGATCGGAGTGTCAGGTTGGGGATGCGTGAGAAGCGTAGCAGCGCTGATGGCTTCCTTGACGGCAGTGAAGGCAGCTCGAGCGAGAGAGAGCGAGAGAGAGCGAGAGAGAGCGAGAAAGAGCGAGAGAGAGCGAGAGAGAGCGAGAGAGAGAGCGAGAGAGAGAGAGCGAGCGAGAGAGAGAGATAGAGAGAGAGAGCGAGAGAGAGAGAGAGCGAGAGAGCGAGAGAGTGACACTAGAGCAGCTCGCAGAGCCAGACAATCGCTGTGCTGGGCCCAGGTTTGGTCAGGTGTCAGCAAGTCTGTGGCGCGCGGGTCTGCAGAGCGACGCTGACAATTTGTTGGGATCTCAGTGATGGTGATGCCGACAGCGAAGCTGAATCGTCCCCGTCGTCTCCAGTAGCGAAGAGGCGCAAGTTGTGAGCGAGTACATTAGGCGGCGAACTGCCTTACGTCATTACCATGTTACTTGCCGTTCAGCTCTCTTGAGTCGTCTGACGCAGTCTCGGAAGCGCAGGCGACGATCAAAAGTGTCACTGCCAGAATCGAAAGACTATGCAAGTGCAACGCCGCCCAGAGCATCGTGGTTCTTTCCAGGAAGAACTTGGTCCATGGCTTGGAACTGATGTCGTTGACATGCTCAAGTCTGTGTCAACATCTTTAGTTCCGTTGTATTGTGCTCCACCGTGAAAGCCACTAAGTTTGTCTCTTTGCGAAACCTGTCATTTTCGTTTTCAAAGTACATATTTTGAAAGCGGTATTTGGGGCACTTGTAGACTACTTTTCTGCCCTGTACCACCTTCAAGAGGTCAAGTACGGTCCCAAGAACTGTTTTCTGGAGGAAAAAAAATTATAAAATTTCACACTAAGACATGTTTTAGCTGGTTGTGGCCCAAATAAATAAATAAATGTAACCTCTTGCAGAGCTGCTCTATAGATGAAGTTGCATATACGGTTCATGGTGAATTTGACAGCGACGGACTATTCAGTAAAATCGTCTTGTACGCTAAAGGATTTCAAGGCCAACATGAAGCTCGTGTTCTAATAACTGTTAGTTCTTCATCCACATTTGTTTCTCTTTGCCTCCAGTAATGTGTAATATTTATTTATTTTTGCTTTGTTTTTGTTTACTGCCATGGCTGGCTACCGCCCCCCTCCCTCCATATTGGCCTATATTCTCTGGCCACGGGAAGGTGAAATAAATAAAATAAATAAATTCAATACAATTTCAAGTCTGAAGATTTGGCAACTTAACGCCTGCTCATGACTCTTGCGGTATGTTCGTCGGTATCATTCGCAATCAATGTTTTCTTTGAAAGGTATTCCTGACTTTTGTGTCTAGGCTAACCACATCTATGATAGTTTCAATAGTTTGTGTATATGTCAGTTATAGTAGTCCGCAATGCTGCTTTTCTAATTCTCATTATGATTAGCATGCAATGTACTACCCGAAGTACTGAATTTACTTCTTCTGTACTCTATATTCTAATGTATCTTCTACCTCTTCTCCCTTACGAACATACTTTCTCATTTTCCATACTTACTTAGGAGACTCCCTTCGATAGGCATCTATTTGCCTCTGGAGGATCCGTGAAATAAAAATCAATCAATCAATCAATCAAAATTATGATGCCCCTCAGAATTTCCCACCTTGCCCCCCCCCCCCCTTACGTTCAGGCCGCCGGTTTTGGAGCCATCAGTTGCCTGACGATCGTAGTAATACATGTACGTGTACGTGAAATTCTGAGTTGTGGCCAAGCTTCCAATCTTTCTGGTATATTTATAATTTAACAAGCAATTTCCCCCTTCATTAAACTCAAGAGCAGTTTAGCGCGTATTGGCTTGTGATTTCCTTTCGTCTGTTTGTTTTAGTATTTTATCGCTCCGCAGGTACCCTCGGTCTCAGGTACTCTCATATTTGTGCAATTGTTAATTTTGCTCCTGAATTGTCCTTCCTGCTGCTTTGCTACCGTCCTCCTCCTTCCTCCACCGTTTTTCTTCATAAATCCCATTACACATTCGCTTCCATGTAATTGGGCTTGTAGCCCGTGTGTACTTGCGAATTCAAATAAAAACATACATACATACATACATACATACAATTCATTGATTTGGCGCACAGATTGGTGGGGTTGCTTACGTTCTGGGTAGAGTTCTGTGCACTGAAGAAGCCTATCTCTTGGGGTGGCCGCATTCGCGACGCAGTCGCGCACGCTTCTGCAGGGAGCGCCAGCATTGCCGGACAGGCACGTGCAGTTGTACTGGGCCGAAGTGACGGGTGTGCCAGAGATCGAAACAGTGGACAGTCCGCTTCTGCATGTCGCTGAGCCCAGGGCATAGTTGAAGCGGCGAAAGCAGTAGAAGTACTCCTCTAGACACAAATCATTGTCTAATAATGAACGACCGACGTAGAGAAAATAACAAAAATGTACAGTTAGACCACAGTAAAACCTGTTACTAAAGACCACCGTGATTAGCGACCAGCCTTGTACTACGGATCACTTCGCCTGGCACGGAGGGTTTCACATTCCATAATTATGGTTGTGCGGTGCAAACCTCTAAGGACCACCTGCCACTAAAGACCGCTTTCTCTTAGTTTTTCAACCATGACATTATGACTCATATTATAATAATTATACTTCGAGTACAACATTGGGTATAGTGAGTCACTTCAAACAAACCCTCACTACCTTTGCATGCCTCCTTTGTGCTAGAATTATGTGTAGAGAAAACCTGCTGGTTATCGCGCCACACATAATTGTATTGGACTACGGATGTTGCTGCCAGGAAACTTACACAGCGTTACAGTAGCGTCGTCGCTCGTGGATCCCTGCGTAGCGCACCTGAAATGGATAACCGCACGGATGTTAAAGAGGCTATCGTCAGGCATGACTGCCCTGGCGACGTGCAGGACAATCGTTTCCGTATTCTGGCCAATGAAGTAGAAGTTCGTTCCCTCAGGTAGGACCGCCGAATCATCCGCGAACGACCAGGAGATAGGCAGATTATTAGGGCTGCCATCCACATCGATACACGTTGCGCTGACCGTGCCTGCACCAATCAAGTCGGCTTGATCGAGAAAAAGCTGCAGATCTGCAGCAAGGGGAGAAGCATTAGAAACGAAAAAGGTAGCGGGAAAGGATCAGTAATTAAATGTCCAGTTTAAATCCAAAATTGACAATCTGAATTTGTGTCGTGCTTCGAAATACAAATCTAGATAACATGAAAACAACAGTACCTGGTGCACTTTTTAAATCCGTACGGTTCTTCATCGTCACATTTCAACATTGGAAATCCATGGATATTTTACTGTTATTATTATCAGCCTTTTCGCGTTGACATCGCCAAGCAAGCTTGGGTATTCGTCCACTAGGCCAAGTACAATGCCGAATGAGGAACGAGCGGGGTCAGTGGATAATATTTTAGGAAACCAGAACATGAAAGTTTTAGAAAAATCATTGCATAGTTATGGCATTGCAGAATTCATAGAAAAACAGGTGTATTTAGTGTTATGTTCTCATGGTGAATAAAACTAGTCTTTGGCGGATATTGCTCGATTAATTGGCTATGAATTTTGTTATATCCAGAGTGATATTCACTCCCCTACTTTTCAAGAAGCCATTCGGCGTCCTGTATCTGAAATGGCCAAGCGGGACAGGTGGAAGCTATTAGGACATATATTACGCCAGCCAAGTGACATCCCTGCAAATGTTGCTCTCACTGCTTTCTGTACATATGCTACCAGTCAGCCCTTTCGAATAGGATTAGTCTGGTTTGCCGACTATTTGTCCAATCGTCGCCAAATAGTGCACATTGCTGAGAACTATAGCCCTCCTTTCCCCTGCATGTGTGGCGTTCCCCAAGGCTCTGTTCTTGGTCCGCTGCTTTTTGTACTCTATGTTCGTTCGATCCAGTCCATTGTCTCCGAGTTTTGTGTGAAAGTTATTCAATTTGCTGACGATATTCTATTGTATGTTTGCGGTAAGCAGAAGAATGCGCTTAGCAACTCCCTGTCTGCAGCTGTCTCAGCCATTAGTACCTGGCTGTCAAACCGCAATTTAATTCTAAATGCTCGGAAGACACAAGTGCTCTTCCTGTCTACGCCACATATTACTGACCACCAATTTGCAGTCTACTGCCATGGAGTGCAGCTCAAGCAAGTGACATGTGCAAAGTACCTTGGAATACATTTGGACCAGGATCTTTCTTGGAGCACTCAAGTTGATTCTATGGTCTCCAAACTAGCCAGTAAAATTGGTATTCTGTTCCGAAATCGACACAATATTCCGCTGACTTGCCGAGAAACCTTCGTAAAGTGCCTAGTGTTGCCAGATTTTCTATATGCATCAAATTGTTTTTCTGCTGGCCTTTCCTTAACCCAGTTAGGTAGGCTTGAACGAATGCTAAAGCGAGCTTTGCGTTCAGTGTATGATACTGGTTTTTGTAGCCCATCAAGCCCTTTATTTGCGAGACTTGGTCTAGATCGTTTGGCAACCATGTATTGCAAGAAATTACTGTATCTGACGTGGCGCTGTTTGGAAGGCCGCTGTAGTGTCACATTAAGTCAAATGTTCGAGCGTTTAAATAATGGTCTTGCAACGCGCAGCCTTGTATCACGCACTCTTAAGTTGCCCATGCTCAGAACTGCCTTTGCCCGTCATGGCGCTTCCTTCCAATGTGCTAAGCTGTGGAATGATTTGCACCCTCTAGCTCGCTGTGTGGATAACTCCGCCCGTTTTAAGAAACTGTTACCCCAATGCCTTGCTTTTTCACGCTAGTAATTATGACTTTCAGCTATGCAAAATGCGAACATGATCACCTATCCAATACCGGTAGTCTACTATGTTAATTATTCATATCTTTTTGCATCTTTCCCTCGAGTGGGTCTATTGTTATTAGGCAATTGTCTGTTATAGTCACCACTATAAATAAAATCCAATCCAAATAGGTGCACCCCGCTCTTGCCTCACCACAAGTCTCCAGCGAGACGTCCGCCTCACACCTATCTGCATTTTTAAGCCCAGCTGCCTTCGTGGTCTCGGCACCTATGCCCGCGACAGAAAACAATGGAGTAACATCTGCTCAGCCATTTAGTCTAGTACTGCTCTTCTTAAATTTGACCTTTATTACAAGACTCTTCTTTTCTTTTTCATTTCGTTCTCCCACTCTCACACACACATGCTCACGGTTAATTCTGCCGTCGTGAGTCCCTTTCGGGACGGATACGATAATAATAATAATCATAATTCGGCGTCCTGTATCTGCCCACATGTACCCCACACTATCCATCTCAAACTAGGGTTTGACTAAGGTGGGCTTGACAACCAGGGCGGTTTTCGTGCCAAAGAACGAATCTGAATATCTCCGTACGTTCAAGTCTAATATTACCTTCAGCCTCGGGATCATGGGCTGATATTCACTTCGCCTTCGCATAGTATTTTACTTTCTGGCTTATAATGATTATTACTGTACTGTGTAGCAATAGCCTTACTGAGAGCATGTCCAGAACTGACGAATGCGACCAGAATCAGCAGAAATGCACCGACGCTACCTCTTACGGAGCAAGAACATTGAAACAGAAGCGCCATTGCAGCAATCCCGTACGCTTATCTGAAATCAGAAAGTTTAGCTCCTGTCAGATCAGTTTGGCTTGCTGAAACTTGCTTTGGGGGTTGGCAGCCTCTTATCACCTGACCAAATACACAAGTTGAAATTCTCTTCTAAGGAGGTTTTTCTTGCCCGGCTTTATGAAACTGAAGTCGTTACTGAGGACGGAGTAAGCCCAGTTCTCTTTTACAAGGACCGCGACTGGAGCTGAAGATGCGGCAAAACCTCTGGCGGACAGGCACTGCCAGTTCGGCTTGCATATGCCGGAATATACAAGTACGAAGGTAAAAAGGTAAATCAATACCAAACAAACGCCAAGGGAAATCAACAGGTACATGTGGGTGCGCAGCTGGCTGACGGAGTGTTCCTCTGAGATCTAGTACAGTACAGGCATTCACAAGTAAGTAGTTGCCGCATCACCAGTCAACCCGAAGCTCCGGAATGGAGACATTTCCCATCAGCACTTCGTTGCCTTCCTGTCCTCTGCGCCGCAAAGCTGTACTATGAAATAACGCGCGGGCAGTAACTCGCGTCCATTGCGCCGCACTGCATTTTGCATTATGCCTGAATATACAAGTACGAAGGTAATACCAAGGTAATCAACACCAAACAAACGCCAATGTACAAGTGAAATCAACAGGTACATGTGGGTGTGCAGCTGGCTGACGGAGTGCGCCTCTGAGATCTAGTACAGTACGTGTACTGGCATTCACAAGTAAGTTGCCGTATCACCAGTCCACCCGAAGCTCCGGAATGGAGACATTTCCCATCAGCACTTCATTGCCTTCCTGTCCTCTGCGCCGCAAAGCTGTACTACGAAATAACGCGTGGGCAGAAACTCGCGTCCATTGCGCGCGCCGCACTGCATTTTGCATCTCTCCAAAAATACCTATCACTCTCGGCTTCATGATCAGAACCCGAGCTAGCCTTTGGTAGACTTCTGTATCGTATTGGACTAATAATAATGACGTGAACTGCAGTGATTATGTTCCACACAGTATTGCCATTGAATGATTGATTTCGGGTATGAATGGTTCGATTTAGTGATTGTCATCACTGTGCGTGTACATGAACAAAGTCATGTACATGTATATGACTGTTATCTACAGTCCTCGCAACTGAAATCCGACCCCTGAGCGGTGCGCTCACATCGCAAAGACCCAACACGGGATAGTAAAATTACAGTACAATGTAAGAAAAGGGTTTGCTCCCCACACCGGAGCTCGCGCTATTCCGCCGACTTTACTTGACACTTGACTGACTCACTACTGCCATCCAGGGCACACGAGAAGTCCATCGAACCTTCGACTCGGCAAACCTGCAAGAAAGCACCACTCCCTGCTCAATACACAGTGTTTTGGGGAATTCACCCCTCATCAGTTGAGCTTCAGTAGGCTGAGGAAGATTGTGCCTGAGGAGCACCACTTATATAGTGCTCTCCAGGCACGACCATCACCAGGGATACAAACTTACAGAGACGCTCCGTTTTCAGCGCGACAAACACCTCGTGAGCACCAGATAGCAGCGTGAGTCAGTGTCGCTCCTGGACGGTGAGACAGACGTCGAGGACCCTCGGTCATTCGCAACGCTGTCACCTCCAAACCAACTAGTCGCAAGCCCGCGCTGGGCACAACAGCACGAAGTAGTGGTTGCGACCTCGGCGATGATTTGTAAGAAAAGGGTTTGCTCCCCACACCGGAACTCGCGCTATTCCGCCGACTCCCTTTTTTTCTTTTCTTACAAATCATCGCCGAGGTCGCAACAACTACTTTGTACAATGTACGTAAATTATGATTGTATTTGTAGAGACTGCTAGTAGAGTGTAGACGAATCACTAAGTGGTCGGATTTCAGTTGCCAACACTGTAGCTTGACACATGACAAGTCCTACTCGACTCAGGCTGCTGGTCCTCAACCATTCGTAGACCCGGGTGCTCGAATGAGACACAGGGTACCAAAACAGAAACAGCCTGAAATTGTACCTAAACTTGTTCCGATTTCGTTTAGTTTTCACAAATACCATCAACATACGGTATGCTAACGGTATGCCAAATTTCAGAGCTGCCCGGTAAACGGTTTTTGAAATACTCGCGACCCACTTTTTGCTGGGTCCTTGATTCGAGGATGTGGGTCTCCTGTACGGTGCTGCCAAAGACCTGCTGAATCTGCGGCTCCACTGACCATTTTGCTCTCAAAAACGAAGTAGTAAGTTACTACTACCTGCCCTCAACTGCCATACCAAGCGTAGACGATGGTAGACCCGTGTGCTTGAATCGGAGACGATCTGACGAGTTTGCTGTTTCTGATTCGAGCACCCAATTTTCAAATAAAAAATCCGAAGGAAATACGACCATTTTACTGCGTACTGTGGCTTGTGTTGTAGCGCACCCAGGTTCTGAATTCCTGCTGGGTGGGTCAAGCCAGACTCCCTTCCCTGTTCCATCGCCTCTCCAAAAGTATATTCTGACATTGTTGAGATTTACAGATGAGAAACTTCACACCTGTCAAATCGTTTCTGATTCGAGCACCCGGGTCTACGTGGCCTGCAGTTGGGTACCCGTGATACTTAGTCCATCGGCCAAGTCTCAAAATCGAAAGTGGTGATGCACTGAGCTTCCAACTAAACGCGACCATACCCAGCACGTAGAGAATATATCAGAGAACACTATTCCGTTTGTTGGACGTGCCGAATTCAGTCCAGGGCGTCGATACGAAGCGTTCTTCGTCGCCGAGTTTTTAACTGTGCGCTCCATTTGAGAGTGCGCAGAGTTCTGATCGAGAGTTTTTTGAGCAGATTTTCAAATTTTTGAGGCTGTCAGCTGACAGCTGTCAACCCTAAATGGCACTTAGTATGTGACAGGCAATAGGTTTTGGTGCCTCCGTATGCCTTCCAATAAGTTCTATCTTCCTTCGTTTCACTTCGCTGCTTCGCCCACTACCTCAGGAGATGACAGCGTACCTGCACTAGTCAGCTCTCGCTAACCCTGTCTCTCTTTCTCCGTCTTAGCGCTCGTCATTCGTGTCCTTCTGCTGGGGCGAGCTTGATACTGTTGTGTCGTAGTTTTTAGGCAATAGTAGCTGTTGTTCGCGTGACGATCAGGATTTATGGAGAAAGACGACGACTCGCCAAGTTCCCATGCAGCCACAGACGGCGTAGCAATTCTTACCGCCAACCCTTCGAGCAACGGAACCGGCCTGAGTTGGAAATCGTGTCTGTGTAATTGTGCCACGATACGGATGAAACACACAGGCTCACATGTGACGAGATGAAGATATTCTCAACAGGCTGACGGAAATCAAACAGGCTCACGGGAACGCTGCAGTTATGGTCGGAGACGCGGAGTTATTTAGTCACTGGTAAATGTTGCATCGAGTGCTGTGTGCTCTAACACAATTGTAAAAATCATGAAAAAAATCGAAAATAATGCAATGGTGGGGCTGAGTGGTGTTCTGTGGAGGAGACGTCGCTGTCTCAGTATTCAACGCCGGACCCTGTATTTCAAGTCTGTGGTCATGCTCGATCATAAGATCCTGTATGGCTCCAGTGCCTTCTCAGCATTGTTGGCGGGTAAGCACCTGGATAGTGTCCAAGTACTGCGGCTCTGATGGCTTGAGGGATGTACGGGTGCTCGCCGTGCACCCCTGCCGGCAATCTGCTAGTGAAGCTTGGTATCTACTGTGTCCGGGAGATTTTCATCCAGAAGCTGATCTTCCTAGGCTGGAGCTGCTGCTACTCCTGTGCTAGCCCTCAACCACTGGCGCATGGCGCTCCTACTCGGCTCCAGTGTGGGCCATTAACCACCCTGCCCGACTTCACACTGTTGCTATTCCACACCGTCAGCATTTAACTCTGAGGTCAGACCTTGATCCCTCCCACCATAATGCTATCTGTCTGTCTGCCTCTCTCTCACACCTAGATGTGCGCGCATACACACAAACACACATGCACACACATGCACACACAGTAACACAAACATACACATAGCCAACTTCTCTGTGTTTGGTGATCATCCTCTGTTTTCTGATGTGCAAGCTCACCTCTGATGCGGATTACTTCCTTGCTTAGACCCGGTCTGCTATTAGACCAGTCTGCTCTCCCTTCACTCGCTTGTAAATCCTACTTGGAGCAGTAAGGTTGTGTCACTGCTCCTACTGATGTCATTGTTGTGAAAGCAATATCATCGCCATTGGTGGTAATTTTCCACCGGGCATGAATCATTAACAATCATCATCTTTGTGTGACGGCCTAACCATCCTCGTAACTCCCCTCATCGTGACTAGTGCTGTACCGTTGAAACCTACTTTGCTTCAGTGTATATTCGCTCCAAAGCTCTTGTTTTGTTGCATAGTGATCTGACGCAGTGTGCTATAGCCTATCGGGTAATATGGATAAGATTAGTACAGTCGGCATCGCCTATCGAGTGACCACGTACATGTATAAGGATACTAGAACATGTATACCGGCTTAATGATATCGGAACACAAATAGCACTATGTGTGCAATATTCCTTTCTAAGCTCACGCTGTGCGGTGCAGATAGGTCATGTGTCGTTGCCAACTTGCCGCATGTGCATGTGCAGCAGGAAGGCACCACATGTCGACTACTACTTATTATTATTATTACATTTTTGATAGGGTTATACTGTACAGCATTGTGTGCTTACATGCATCTACGGCCTTGTGGATGCAATTGAGTCTCACATACATGTACATGAAATATTGCTTGTAGTGCGGCATCAGGTGTTAACATACAATGGCTAAATATTGTTCTCGCAATAATGACCGTATTCACCACAAGTGTGTTTATGTCCAGAGCCAACTCAAGTCCTGTATTATTTATGACCATGACAACAAGACTTCCGGGCTGAAATTCTTCTATGACAGGCATGAACACTTGCCTTACAATTGTTCGTGATTGTACGAAGTACATATTCGCTGTTGCATCAATTTTGCACCATTTACATTGTAGTGCCACTAGTGGTATCACCTGCATGCGTATTGAGTCAAACAAGGTTACCTCTGTATAATTATGCTTATCGTGGCTATCAAGAGCTTCGATGCAAATTCCCAGCTGACGAATGTCGTCCAGCTTGTGTTCAGCTCAGCTGGCACTCACAACTCATAATAATTGCGTTCTACACGCCAGATGAGATGTTTC